CTTTTTTTTTTTTTTTTTTTTTTTTAAGTGTCTATTTTGGTAAATCCTCAAATCTGGAGAATGAGAGGCAGTTACTGAGTGGAAGAAAGTGAAAACTTGATTCCCAGCCTCTTCCACCCTTTCACGTACACACACTTTTGTGTGTTTCAAACCTAGGAAGCCAGCTGTGAGACTGTTATAGGTAAGTATGACATGCAAATGTCATACTTATTTTCCTTAATACTACCTCAACTGATAAGAATACAATATTTGTCCTTCCAGCACTCTCATTCTTAATATATCAAGGAACTTTTTGGATAATAATTTAATCTATTAAATACCTCATTAATCTATTAAATACCTCATGAGGTATGTCATTACCTCATTTTACAAATAAGATACTGAGATGCAAACTCTTTAACTACAGCCCAGAGGTTCTGATGTCTGGAGCTCGTCAAATGATTTATCATCCAACTGGGTCACTTTTTTAATAAAATTAGGTTATGTTTTCGGGGGGGAAATATAATTAGATAAATGTTCTCTTTAAAACCGGAGATGGGGGAGAGGGTGTTCACTGAAATCCCAATGTTTTTCGATTTTTGTCTTTTGAGTTTTAGTATTTTTTTTCCCAGAAAAAAGAATCTTTAAAAAATTCAACAAGCCTGAAACAAATACATTTGTAAAAGCTTCTATTTATCATCATTCTCTAAAATTAAATATTCCTATAGAAATTATCCTGCAAAGTGATAGTGTGGGACCAGTGAGTGACAAAAGGTTGGAGAGCAACCACACAACATAGAAGGTGAGGTTTGTCTCCATTACTTTAGGTAAAAAATGTAACGTTCATGATTGCCACCCTGTCTGCTACTCTGGTTTCAACAATAACAGAATTGTCATGATTTCTACATAAATTAATTCAAGTCTCTAGTTTACATCATATGGTATAAGAAGGAGGCCATCTGGTTCATGTTCTAGGTGTCAGGACCGCTCGTACAAACACACTCTATTAGTGCAAGATGTAACTTGACTGCACGTATTAATGTCTCCGTACTCTCTGCCTCCCAGAGACCTGATGCTGTCGTCCCATTTATAGTGCTGCCATTTACATTGTCAATAGCAATAATAATGTGGTGCTTGCTATTTACATAGTACCTTTCATCATAATACTTTTCAAACATGGATAAGAATTAGTAGCTTACCATTACGAAACAGAGAACTGCCCTTATACATTATTATTATTATTATTATTATTATTATTATTATTATTATTTCTCTTCCTTGGAAAGTAACACCTAGGGGATCTACAAGTATTGATTGAGAAGGGGGCTTCTTAAATCCTATTTTTTCAGGTAAAACTTGCAAAACACCTAAGGTGCTTAGGGGCCTAAATCATTGTATTTTATAGTAATATTATTTTGTACATGGTATTATTTATAATAACAATTGACATGTCATAGTGCCTTCCATTCATAGTTTTAAATGAAAAAGCATGAATTTCTGAAACCTCATAGTGTTTTTCTGCATAGTGTACTATTTGTGACTCCTGAATAACTCATAACGAAAAATCAACTGAAGGAATTTGACATCTTTTTTTGGTTTTTTTGCTCTGAAATTATCTGTAAGCACACTGAAAGTGCTTAATATTTACTCAGTGGACTGTAATTGTAAGGATTTCCCTCCCTTTCTAACTTGGTTGCAAGCATTTCCCAGTGGTTTTATGATATTTGATCCCACAGAGTATTAGTGTTGTTCATTCATTGTGTCTAGCGATGGTTTCTTTGCTCGGATTGAGGGAAACAAGTTATAACTGCCAGAGAAAATCTTGAAGAAGGCAGTGGGGGCCAAAACTTATCTGGAGCAGACTGACATCCTAAGGTCCTCCACTCAGATAAATCTGCTGAGTTAGGAAGTGAGGTTTAGTATGTGATTACCCTGGGATGGACCTTGATGTAAATGAAGCATAAACTTGCTATTAAGGGCAAGCACATGCTTAGGTGCTCTCCTGTACTGGGGGTCAAAAGGACTTCTGACTCTGAGACTCTGGAAATCTGAAGGCAGAAGAAGCAAAATAATCAGTTCTAGATAATTTCAAAATGTGCCATCCCATTTCTTTCCTGGGCTGGCCAGTCCTTTCCAGAAGAACGTGTCTAGCAATGTTATAGTTTCATAATTGGTAGGGTTGGAAGGGACCTAAGTAGATCATCAAGTCCAACCTCCTGCCCTGGGCAGGAATGAATACTGGGCTCACATGACCCCTGGTAGCTCATGTGACCCCAGCTAGCTAATTATAAGGCTTTGTCTTAAAGACCCCCCAAAACTAGGAGCCAGCACTACTTAGTTTCATAGTTTCTAGGGTCAGAAGGG